CTGCTGGCTGCTCGCGCTGCTGCTGGTGCCGGGACCCGGTGGCGCCTCTGAGATTACCTTCGAGCTGCCCGACAATGCCAAGCAGTGTTTCTACGAGGACATCACGCAAGGCACCAAGTGCACCCTCGAGTTCCAGGTAGTCCAGGCTCTGGCGGCCAGGGCCCCGGCCCGCGGCCCAGGGGCGGGGGTGGTCTGCCGGGCTCCCGCCCGACCGTGTTTCCTCAGTCTCTGGTTCATTCAAGAATCTGCTCTAGGGATTTGATGCAGGGCATTTGGCTTTCCTCTTCTAAACCTTGGGCGAGGGCCATTAAAGACGAGATACTAAGATACATGATTTTCGGGAATGCTTCCCGGAACTGTGACTTTTGTTTCCATTCTCTCATGTCCTTCGTTTGAAGGCCATTGAACTTTCTTGCTTAAAAGACTCACCTTTAAAAATATATGTCCCTGTTCTATATAGTGCCCAGTGTCTGTCCCACTCTCTAATCCACACCTCTACTTTGAAGTGTTTTCACCGATACTAGCCTGTGGGTTAATGTGGGCCCTCGTATTGGAAGAGCATCGTTCTAGGCCAGGTAACCATCTGCCACAGGTGGTGCAGAAAGAATTGCTGCAATACGTGAAAGGCCCCTTCTCGTTTCTGGGAGTACAGTAAAAAAAGAGAAACTTTCATTGGGCAGAATGTAGTTTAAGTTGGTTAGAACAATCTTTTACTTTGTTTCTATTCTTTTTGGTAGATTTATTTCATGTATTTGAGCAGCTGTTCAGTGCTAGGTGTTGGTGATACAGAAGTGATTCAAAACACTGGAGGGTGTCTTTGTTCATTCTTGATTCCCCACCTATCGTACTCTTTTTTTTCTTCTTCTTTTTTTTTTTAAATTAGTACCTGCTCATTCATCATAACTGCTTTAAGAGCAGAAAATAGGGGATAGACGATCTGGTCTTTGGGATCTATGAGGACTTCCTTTAGCAAGTGATTTTAAGCTGAATTGTAAAGAATAAGTTGCACATACTTCATTCAGTAAGGGGGAAGAGGGCATGGGCTTTGCAAGGACCCTGTGGTAAAAGTGACTGAGAATTTGAAGACCTTAGAGAGGCCCTATATATTTGGGAATAAGAAGCCAGAAAGGGGAGTGGAGGGGGTGTCAGCAGGGACCAAACTATGTAATGCCTTGCTGGCTGTGTTAAGGGTTTTAGTTTTTCCTAAGAGTATAGGAAGCGATCAGAGGGTTGTAAGCAGTGAAGTGACATAATCCAAATATTTTTGGTAGTTATATGGATATTAATTTGTGCAGGTAGAGAAGGTATTTTAGAGTGGATATACATTCTGGTTAGGAGGCTGTTGTAGTGGTTCAGGCTTAGACTAGGGTGTTAGCAGTGGGAAAGGAGAAAAGTGAAAGGATTGGAGATCATTTAGTAGGTAAAATCAACAAGACTTGTTGATTTGACTGTAGCAAGTGAGGGAAAGAAGGCTAATAAGGATGACCCTTAGGCTTGTTTAACTTCATGGATTAGGACCATGGGACAGAAAAGAAGATAGCAGGAATTATTATACAAAATGTCAGCAAAAGTTTTATTTGTTTGAATTTTACGAACATTTTTTGGAATTCGTATATGTGTAGACACCGTGCTTGGTGCTGGGATACTACCACTACTACTATTATGGGCTAAAAACAGCATGTTGTGTATGCCAAGCATTTCAGGTGTATTACGTAATTCTCAGGACAACTCAATATGAAACAGGTATAGTTCTTATTCCTTTTTTACTGATGAAGAAACTGAAGAAATATGAGGTCATAAAACAGCAAGTAACAGAATCAGTATGCAGGTCCAGGTTAAATTCTTTACTTTGTTATAATACCTCGAAAGATAAATAAGACTTACTTTGACCTCGGGGAACTTACATAGACACATACAGTCATATAATGTGAAATGCAAGAGTGAAAGAACACACTAAGTATTGTGGGGGCATAAAAAATAACTTTTCTCCCACCTTCTAAGATCTTCTAGCTGGGCCAGTAATCAAATTAACAGGAGAAAATATACAGAGTTTATTATGGATGTATATGCAAGGGTATCATATATGAGACTCGAAATGGGTAGTTGAGGCTTATATGCCATGCTGGACAGAGCAGAAGGTGTGGGCAGGGATATGGGATTTCGGAGGGGAAATAAGCAATTCACAGGTAACCAAGAAAGAGCAGAACATGTGGCAGATTCCTGCTAGGCAACCCAGAAACAATGGGCAGAAGCTAGGGAATAGGCTTCGCTAGATTTTTTTCTCTTAATGCGATAAAGTGAATATGCTAAGTTCCCTTCCTGAAGCAGGTTTTTCTATCTGAATCTCTTTAGGCCAGAAAAGGGGAGGTAACAATCTTTGAGTCTTTTGTTTCTTAATAACCAGCTTAAAATCAGTATTCCAAAAGGCACATTTTGGAGGTGGCAAAACTTTGGTGCCTCCTCCCTGCCCCTCTAGTATAGTGCTGACTGAAGGAGGAAGGATCATTGGGAAATTTAGCTGAGGGGGTGATGTTTGGTCTGAGTCTAGGGTAAATAGGAGTTCCTTACAAGGCCATAGAAGGGAAAGGATAACCTAGGCAGGTGTGTTATGTTTGTAAGACTTAATTCCAGCAGGCCTGAAATTAGCCAGAGCTGGCACTGAAACACTGGTAGTGTTGCTTTGTAACTGTGGATCCCCAAGAGCTTTAGGGGTGTTTTGTACCAGTTTGTAGGCATTATTTATTGATAATAGAGTGATGATTTACACCTGGTGTCTGTGAGACCCAAAAGGCTTGGTGTTAACACTGGTTACCTATCAGGAATATGCCTATGTGACCAGCAAAATATAAAAAAACCCAGCCAACACTCTTTTGGGCTGGTTCCAAGGTGTTCCTCGTGCACTTGATGGGTCCTGATCTGAGAGAGAGAATATATGTTTAGCCACAACCCTCACAGAGGAAGGGCAAAACTCTTCCTGACCTGTTTCTGTGAGACAGCTTTGGCTGTGATGTTTTCTTTTCCTGTAATAAACTGGATTTGTAAGCATTGTCATTTTGGGTCCTGTGGTGCTTCTTCAGCAAACAAAGCCTGTTTAGCTGCTAGTTAAGCAAAGATGTAAAGCAAAGACTTCAGAAAACTTCTGGCAGTCTGGTATTTTTGGAACACAGAATGAGAAAGGGCATAAAAGAGGAGCTGAGACTACCTGGAGGAGGTACAGGGAAATGGAATGCCATTATTTACAGGTTTGGATTTTTCTGTAGGTGAAATCAAAAGGGAATTTCTGAAAGGAAACAGGATTATCTAAAGGTTTTAAGCTAAATGGGGATGGAGAAGGATAGGAAGGTTTTGCCCACCTCCAGGAGACATGTGGGGAGAAGGGTGCTACTGGCATCTAGTGGATGGAGACCAGAGATGCTAAACGTGTTGGAATGCACAGGGCAACATAGTCCCCTACAACAAAGAATTATCCAATCCAAAATTATCTAATTAAGGTTGAGAAACACTTGATTAGAGGGATGAGAGATTGATTGGGTTGTGGGAAGAACTTTTAGGACATTGTGGCAATAATCCTGTCTGGATTGTAGATTAGGAATGGAAAAGCTGGGATGAATTTGAGAAAGGCAAAAACATCAAGAGATTCCTGTGATTTAACCAGACAAGTAGAGACACAATTTGGGATGATTCCCAGTTTCTATCTTATGTGACCAGACAGGTTGTAAAAGGTTACTGTTCTCTGAAATGAGGTTACTTGTTTGAAAGTTTGTTGGAAGAAAAGTGGCATGGTAATAAGTCCTGGTTCTATTCAGTTTGTATTATTTGATTATTCAAAGTAGAGGTTACTATGAATAATTGGGTGTATAAAAATGATGTCATTTTCACCTGGAAGAAAAGTTGTTGACTTTTGGGAGGACAGGTAAATGCTTAATTGATAAGACACTTTTCATATCAAAATATTATATCTCTATATTAATTTTACATATTTTTACAGTTTCCTAAATGCATAACTTAATTATCAAAATGATCTTGTAACAGTTCAGTTATTCATCATATCGCTTAAGTAACAAAAGGTTACATAAGAACTCATTCTCTGAAGTCCAAAGTTTGATCTGTTTTACAGCCCTAGAATGTAAGTATTACGCTAACCAAAAGTGTTCAAGCTTGAAAATACAGTCTCATGTTGGTTGGGAACCCTCAAACCCACTGTCTTCTCATCATTTCTTACTCAAGTGGATACATGCACCCTATGTTTCTTCTCCCGTCTCCTCCCTCTTCCCCCTCAGTTCTTTCTCGTATAAGGAGGCCTTTCTTCTCTTTGATCCTTTTTCCCTTTCTCTCATAATTGTCCAGTTACTTCAGGAAAAATCTCCCTCTCCTCTCATCATTTGTACAACCCACGTTGCCCAAATTGTAACTGATTAAGCATAAGCCTTTGAAAATAGCTCCCAAAATCCTCTTCAGAAACATGTTACCATACTCCCAGCTTTCCTTTCAATATGCTTGCCCTTAAATACAAACTTTCCAGATAAAAGATCTTTTTGTTTTTGTGTTGTTCTGTTTTGTTTTTGCTTTAGTCATCAGTGTATAGACAATATAGTTTAATCATTTATGTTTCTCTTGGAAACAAATTTATAAATGATGATAATACTCTAAGAACAGTCCACAAGCCTATTCAATTCAGTTGCTCTATTAAAACAAAATATGTATCAACTTCTATATAACTGACCCTGTAAAAGAATTTAAACTCAACCTATTTGTAATTCGGCAGTAAAATTAGGACTGACCTATTTTACTACTATACTCTACTATCCATGTTAATGCTTAGATGATGCTAATAGGAAACTAGGTGAGAAAATTCGCAGAAGGATAATATTACATGATACTAAGCTTAACGATAAAGAGTAGGACTTTGGAGTTCAAGTTTTATCTTAACTCGGTTATGTTTGTGAGATGGAGGGGTGAAAAAACCCTCAGGTAGGGTTGTTTGGGAGAATTCAGTGATATAAGAGACTTACATTAACTAGAATAGTTGTCTGTCTAGTTAGCTAGTTACCTCTCTCCTATCATGAGGAAATTTGTTGAGTTTTTACAAACCTTTAGTTGAACTGAAATCTGCCTCCCAAGTTCCATCCCCGTATAGAAATAAAAAAATGTAAAGTTGTCTATGATAGTAAAGGCCCTTAGCCTATAACCTTATTGCCATTTTAACAGGAAATCTGTTTGTTTCTAAAACTTGTTAATTGCAGTGATTTTTTTTTTTTTTCCTCTTTACAGGTGATTACTGGTGGTCACTATGACGTAGATTGTCGATTAGAAGATCCCGATGGTAATGTGTTATACAAGGAGATGAAGAAACAGTATGACAGTTTTACCTTCACAGCCTCCAAAAATGGAACATACAAATTTTGCTTCAGCAATGAATTTTCTACTTTTACACATAAAACCGTATATTTTGATTTTCAAGTTGGAGAAGACCCACCTTTGTTTCCTAGTGAGAACCGAGTCAGTGCTCTTACCCAGGTAAATAAAAAGTCAACAATATAATGTTGGTGTATGTAAAGGGAGAAGATGCATAGTTTATGTGCATTAATTTGATAAACACAGAATTTTGACTTTTAACACAATCATGAAGACTTATCTTAATTCTTACAGATTAGGCATTTCACAGAGAACTTTTCAATGAAGACCAGTGTTTAATGATTTTATGAACTTTTAAGTGTGAAGAAAATAAGAAGCATTAAAATAGGAAGCTCGCTTAGGTAGAAACATCAATAGCGAAGAAAATTTAGGAAGGCTAAACAGTGCTCCAGCATTCTGAAGTATTTTCTGTAATTCATGAAGAAATGTTGCTACCATAACTTAGCAGATTGGTATAACTAGAAGCAAAATGAAACCTTAATTAATATATAAAGATACCACAGATGGTTTTATACCAATATTTATGTTATTCAGGCTGTTGTTACAATAACTTTAGCTGTAACTTAAGGTGAAATATTAAAAGATTAATGATAAGTCACGTAACAAAAATAGTTAAGAAAGCAAAATTGTGTTTTATTTTGAAGAATAGCTTAATGAGAAAGGTAGTAAAAGAAATTTAGAGTCAGTGAACAGATACTGCTCAGGTGATAAAAGGGCTATTACAGTTTTAGTTCTAGTACAGTATGAGCTCAGATTATATCTTAAAGATACTCAATTAGGTATTGAAAGGAATTATTTAACACCTGCTTGTTAAAACCTTAAACTGGCATGTCATTGTTCCCGGGTTCCAGTTAGTCTCTTGGCCAAAGTCATGTGATCATAGAGTCAGTTTTTAAGAATGTGTAAGAGCCTTAATTCATAAACTTGTTATAGGCTAATAAGATGTATTCAGATACTCTTTATTTCTAGAAATCTCTTTATTTTAGCATCCTGTGTGAACTGCACTTTGCTTTGTAAAAAGGTTTTTCTTTAGGGCCATGGTTTATAACTTAACCTTCATGAATTTTAATTTGTATAAGAAGGTAGCTTGCTGTTAAAACCTAAATAGAAAAATGTAAGAAATGAGTGGTCATAAAGCAGTTAGTATCATTTAACCTCCTTTATTTGTATCATATTTTTTAAAATCTTAGTTTTATTTTTCTACTTTCAAATAGGGATACCTATAAAGCAGCTGTTCATACTTCGAAATTGAAAAACATTACCAGCCAATACATGTAGAATAAATAATACTAAATCACCATTTTTAGCCACTAATAAAATGCTGGATCTAGAGTAGGCAGTAATCACCAGTCACTGCTAAAACCATTAGGTGAAGGGCAGATAGGAAACCTTATAATGGGTAGATAAGATCACCTAAATCTAATGATATTTCACAAATGGAGAGATAAGTAGACATTATGTATCTTCTGATAATAGGCAATACTGAAGTACACAACATTGCCTATGTGGTGTTCCCACTAAGAACATTACACCTGAATCCCAGCAAGTCTCTAGCTTCAACTACCAGTTTATAAGAAATACGAAGCATAGAGGAACACCATGGGAATACAGTTATCAAAATTCAGGAAGTGGGACATGCTACAGGATTGAGGTCCCAATTTCTTTAATATACAGATGGAAAGGGAAAAAAGAAGGGAGAGAACCAGAAGATTAAAGAAGACTTAAGACATATCAACCAAATCATTGTGTCGAAATAGTTTGGATTCTGATTTGTAAAGAACTTTTGAAGCATTTGGGGAAATTTGAATACTAGCTATATTTGATATAAAGGAACTATTTTTAATTACTTTATGTATTATAATGCCACTGGGGTTATATTTTTTTTTTAAGTGTTACCCTTCAGAAATAAATATAAAAGTATAGCTGAAATGGTAAAATATCTGGGATTTGATTTAAAATAATTGGAGTGGGGAGGAAAATTGGTGGGGAATATAGATGGAGCAGGATTATCCATATGTTAATAATTACTACTTGAAGGTTCATTGTTCTGTTCTCTATACTTTTGAATATGTATGAACATTGTCACTTCAAAGAATAAAGGGAAACAACACCATCTGAAAAACTGTATTGCATCTATTCAAGTAGTCCCTTAATTTCTTTATTTTCTCTCATCCAGCTGTTCTTAATTCATACCCCATGGTCAGGCTTCAGGGAATCCTTAAACATTCTGAACCTGTGTCAGATTCTTGCTTTTATGCATATTTTCCAGGGAAAGTATCCTTAGACCACATACTTGAGAATACATAGAAAGCAAAGAAATGCTAGAAGCACTTCTCTGGCCTCTTATCACAAATTAGAAATCATTCATTTTAGCACAGTTTTCCTAATTTTTCAATTACTTCCTTTATACATATTTTGGTAGAACTTTATTAACAGTTTGAATTATTTTCTAATGTCTACATTTCTTAATTAAATTTAAGACAAACTCTGCCCTGTCCTGTGTGGCTCAGTTGGTTAAGCGTGGACCCATGCCACTGAGAGGTTGCTGGTTTGATTCCCAATCAGGACACATGCCTGGGTTGCTGGCTCCATCCTCAGTAGGGGGCATGCAGGAGGCAGCCAGTCTATGGATCTCTCTCATGCATGTTTCTTCCTCTTCCTTTCTCTGTCTCTGTCTGGAATCAATAAAAACATATTTAAAAATAAGTAAAACAAAATTAAGACAAACTCAGATTGTTTTTTAAATTCTTAATATGTGGCTTGTGATGTAAAATAAGTATAATATAATAAAGCATGTATTTTATCACCAGGATTAAGTTTTCAGTAGAAAAATATTAAGCTCTGGTATACAAAAAAAATTAGACATTTAACTCTTTTTAATTCAGATGGTATAATTAATGTATTAAAAGGTAAGGTGTCATCAGATGAAGGCTCACAAGCTGATTACACATTGAAACTGAAACTTGTATCCCATTGAGAACATGTATATTGGTTTAGTTGACTGGCATGAGGGAAAAAACTTATTTAGCAAATTGGTAAGTGTGAAAAAAAAGATATTCCTATTCTGACCTATTATTTTCAGATTCATTTATTTTTTAAATAGTTCAAATAACTTTGACTAACTTAATCTATTTTTATGCCATACTTGATTTGGTTTTGTATATATTTGGAATTTGATTTATGTTCTTATTGGTCATATTTACTGATCTACCCAATCTCTTCTTCCTAATCCTTCCTCTTTGAGGAATCTGGGTTTGAAATTTAGTAGCCACAAACCTTAACTGATAAGTATTTCTGCTACTGCTAGCTTAGTGTTCCATCCTTACAGATGCCACAGCTTTGACATTTTAGTTTGAGGCAAGCAGCTGCTTTATGGGATCTCTAACTTTACCATTTGTACTAATGAGAATGAGTAAAGTGTTGCATTGCTGGGACCTCTGGCATAAATATGTGAATGAATGAGTGCCAGTTCAGTAGAATGTTAACAAAATGAATTAAGACAAATTTTTTTAAAAAGATGACTATGCTAGATGGGTTGTATAGAAAGTATTAAACATGCTAACTGGAAATATTTCTCTTTAGATGGAATCTGCCTGTGTTTCGATTCATGAAGCTCTGAAGTCTGTCATTGACTATCAGACTCATTTCCGCTTGAGAGAGGCTCAAGGCCGAAGCCGAGCAGAGGATCTAAATACAAGAGTGGCCTATTGGTCAGTAGGAGAAGCCCTCATTCTTCTGGTGGTTAGCGTAGGGCAGGTATTTCTTCTGAAAAGCTTTTTCTCAGATAAAAGAACCACCACAACTCGTGTTGGATCATAACTACGTTTTGAGAATTGATGCACCATTGCCACTGTAATATTGCTGTCCTCTAATTAATTTTAGGTAACTGAAGAACTTAATATTGGCAACATTTTAAAAACCTTACTCATATACTTGTTTGGGGGAATATACAATGCATATCCCCAAACTCTGGAAAGGACACCTTTTTTTATTTGTAAAGGTATAAGAACTTTGGAACTTATTTTGGGCTCTTCGTGTTAAATATTCAACACCAATGATCTCTTTTCTTGGTTGTTTATATCTACTCTTCACACACTAAACTTTGGTATTTTGATTCCTTTTTGCCATATAAAAGTACTTTTCTTATAGGTAGTGAAATATTTTTAAAACTTTCAATTTAATATCTACATATGTTGTGGAGGAAGAAAATTGCCTTTTAATTGTTTATAGTGAATAAGGTTTTGTGTTTCAGAAAACCAAATGTGATTAACTGGAGTCCAAGCCCTATTCTGCACTGTTTAATTTTTATGGGGGAAAATCTACCGTAGAAATGTTAGCTAATACTGATATAATTTTAAATTGATACATCATGGTATAACTTATTTTTCGCTAGCTTGGAAAATGTCAGATTTTTGTTTTTTGGGTTTATTCTTTGATTTATAACCAGATATGTTATTTTTTTCATAGATGTTCTTCCCACAGAAAATTGTATGTTTCAGTAACATAGAATGTATACAGGCCTTAAAAATCAGACTGTAATACCAGATAGAATAAATACTGAATAATTTAAGATACTACAGTGTCTTATCGTGTAGGGGCAAATGAAATGAGAAAAATTTTAGTGAGTTATCTGTTCCCATAACATTTTCAGTGCTTTTACAAAGAAAAAAGGTGATCTGTTTCATTTAAACACCTAATTGGCTGTTTCTTGCCATTATGTGGCTTTAATGATTTCGAATCATTCCCAGCTTAAATTGACAGCTGTAATGTTAGTATCGTAAAGGTGCCATACATTTAATTCCCATAGGTGTGATGCACTGAGAAGTTAGTTTCTTTTTCCTTTCTTTCCTCTCCTTTCCTCTTTCTTTTTTCTTTTTTCCCTTTTCTTTTCTTGCACATATAATTTGTATACTCTCTGGTTAGCATCCCTAAGATGATTTAAAAATTTAGAATGCTGTGTGTTTTTTATTTGATAATCTTCATTGATTGTATTGCATTTAATGAATATTAAATAGTGCATATTCTGTAAACTATATGGTTTAGAATGTGTTTGTATTTTGTAACTTGTATAGGTTGAGCTGACTGAAATAAGATTTTGTTTTAAGTATTGTAAGATAGAATACAAGTTATTGCAAAATTGTATAGGTGTTTAAAGCTTTTCTGCTGTTAAAAAATAAATGAAACTGCTTTTTGCCATGCCTCCCTTCCACACCCAAAAGTAAGTGCTGAACTAGGCTCCTATTGTACAGACTTTGATATGTGGTACCATAGAATACTGATTGGATAGCAACTCTAGTCACCACCGCTGACTAAAAGTTAACTCAATTTTAAGCTGTCTTAAAATGCATATATACGTATACTACTGCATGTAAGAGCAAAAGGAATTAAAGTTGTCATGCTGGCTAATTTCAAATGCTGCATTGTAGCAAGGGATAAACATGTTTTCAACCTCAACCCTTTAATTCTAAAATTTTTGAAGACCAAATAGCTAATCCTTAATATCAGATTAAAAACTGAAGTTTAATATTTTGCAACTTTATCATTTGGATTATTATATTGGAGTTGTCTTGCAGCTTTATAAGTGTCCCTCTATATTTAGATTTGAAAATTTTCAGCACTAATGTTAACGTGATTCATAAGCATGGGTGTATGTTGTCCTTTCTGGTTCTGTTCAGATATTTAGATCGTAATTAAGCAGAGTCAGGTACCATCAGTGTGCCGAGTTTGGCATAGATTTCATCTGTGCGCCTATCAAAATTTTGTAATATTAGACTATTACTACAAATAACTTTTGATGAAACTATTGAGATATATTAAAATGTTTGAAATCACCACTGTTACCCATTGTAGAAAATAGTACAGGCTTAGTCTAGTCTGTATGTAACTGGTTAATGTTTGATGGTTGCCTGTACTCAACTGGGTATGTATATATATAAATGAGAACATACATATCCAGTCATAAATGTTAAGTAAACTTTTTTCTTCCTCCTGCTATGTAATTTGTAGCTCATCTTTTTTCTTTAATTCTTTCATAACTTGATGCAACAGTCTGAATTTCCCAAATATTTATATTTGGACATATGGCTCAATATTTAAACATCATTAGCTGTATATATTTTTAAAGCAGAATAAATAATGGAAAGGGACTTGATATACAAGTTTATACTAAAATTTCAACTGTGAAGATACATTATAAGGTTACTTTGCTAATAATCTAGACATTCTTTTCTATTAAAAGAAAATGGTGTGTGGTTCATAACTTTCATTCTGGCTTGATGCTAATCAACTTTGAAAATACAATGGACTGAAAACAGTTTTATTCTTTGAAAGATTTCATTTAAATCTCTGTACTATCCACATTTGCTTCAGTTTATAAATGTGTAACATTGATAGTTAAGTGGGACAAAGCAGACCCTATGACTGATGTTTTCAAAAATTAAATTAATATATAAATAAATCAGAGGGGTTTTTAATTTACTTTTGAAAAGAAAAATTGATTTCTCTAAACATGTTGGTTCTGTAGGGTTGCACCAATCAATTCTTGTAGAATAAAAAAATCTTTGAACAAACTGACTTGTTTCTGTCAGGATTTAAATCTTTCTGAAGTTCCTATGAACTTACAGTTTGGAGTAAATTTTTGTAGCAAGAGAGTTATTATTTATTTGGTATTTCATCAAAACACCTTGGCCAAGAAAAAAATGAAAAGAAAGTTCACAATATGCCGCTTCGCTTTTACAAAAAGATCTACATTATATGTACCTGTTTTCACTAACTGGAAGAAGTCCAAAGAAGAATTTCCTATGAGAAATGGTGGAAATAGCATTCAGCACCTGTTTTGCAGGGAAACATTATAGAAGCAGCAGACACCCTGAGCAGTGTGAGTGGCACTACTTTTGTTACATACAATGTTATTTTAGGTTTTATGTGGTGTTTGGTACATTATTTTTTGGGTCTGGGAGCACTTAAAATTTTTTCCATATAAATTAATGGTAATTGTTTGCTTTACCCCATTTCTGCTTAGGAAAAGTTTCATGGGAAGACTGGTTTCTGATAGCAGGGGAAACCTGTACCACCTCAAAACTGCCTTATTTTTAACCTTTTTGCATTTCTTACTGAAAGTTTGGGTGAAAGGCAGTTTAGCCTTCAGTTCCCTAAAAAGCTCTTAGCTTTTAAGTAAATTAGCCGTAGGTTATATAATGCCAAGTTGCCTCATGTTTTTTCTTTCCCTGTATAATGTAGTCATAGGGGGCATTCTGGTTTCTGGGCACAATTCTACAAAAATAATGAACAGTAAGTAGAGGTTAACAGTTATTGAATGATTACTCTGTGCCAGCTGTTGTGCTAAATATTTTACTTGTATTGATTCATTTCATCTTTACAATAATCCTATGACCTAACAATTCCCATTTTACAGATGAGAAAATGGAGGCACAGGAAGTTTAGGAAACCTGCCCCATATCACAGTAATTAGCAGACTCTGATTACGAACCTTGCAGTCTGACTTGAGCCTTCTTTCTCAGCCACTGTGCAGTATTGCCTTACAAACACCAATTAAAGGATAGATTTCTGAAGGCTTAACTATCTTGATTTTGGGGTAACTCAATATCAGTTCAGTGCTTTAGCGTCAAATTCAAATCATGGTTGTGTGACCTCACCCAAATGATTTTATTAACAGTATGTTTTTGTTTCTTCATCTATTACCAAGGTGATATCTACTATAATGATAATATAATGAGATGTTTATAAAACACTTAGGGGTCACTTTGTACCTATCATATACAAGCACTTAACAGTAACTATGTTTTTATCATTGGTCCAATTCTAATTTCTTGTTCTCTAGTTTCTAAAGTTCTTATTTTGGCCTCTACTCATATGGCTCTTAAATAGCACATAACACAAATGTGAAAGTGTTTGAACGTCTATCATGAATATAACAATCTGCTAGAAGTTTCAAAAATGAATAAAATAGTCTGACCTCCAGGAACATAACTTAGTTGGGGGAGGCAGGGCAGCTATATGAGCAACTAATGTTATATAAGTATTGAAGCAGAATGGCCTTGAAGGGGCTAAGGCATTTTCAGGGTGCCAGAGGAGGAAGAAAATACATAGGTTGAAAGACCTAAAACCCAAAAAGTTTAACTTTGCCTACCCATGGGGGGGCAGCGGCCTGTGGTTGCTAAGTTAGCAATTGAGTGGAGTAAACTCTAATTCAGGAATAGGGATTATTAGCCGGTCCCCATTGCTACAGGTTGGAAAAGCATGTCCTTTAACTTTGTTAATAATAAAGGTGATGATCTCTTAACCTTTCCAGCTCAGTTTCCAAATTCTGGAGGAAAATATAGGATGTTATCCCTAAACCATCAAATGTGCTATTTTTTCAGTCTGCATGTCTTCATTTTTATCCACAAGATATAATTAGAAATGATCACGTTCCTTGCTGAAATCGAGATTATGCCAGAAGTAACACTGGTCTGGCATAATCTGGTTTTAGTGCTGGTATTTGTTAGTGAGCACTATTACCTGGAAAAGAAAAGGCGGCACAAGAACTTAAGAAATAATGGTTCAAGAGTAAAATCCACCCACAATCACACCATCCATTTTGATGTATTTCAGTTATTTTTATAGATACATGTATATGTTTTTCTAAAAGTTGGTATTATATTGTCTATAATAAATTTTTAAACTTAAAAATTGTAAAGTTTGCCACAGTACAGAAGAGGGTATTGAACAAGTACGGTTTAAAGAGAAGTAAAATAAAGCACACACTAATATAACCAATACTCAGTTTAAGAAATACAACATTGCCAGCCCTTGCCAGTGTGGCTCAGTTGGATGGGTGCCATCCCATGCACTGAAAGATTTCCGGTTGATTCCGGGTCAGGGCACATGCCAGATTGCAGGTTA